AAATAACCAGCTAATCACAGCCATGAAACATTAAGATTAGCGCCGTACAACTATGATCTAAGCCCAGTAGAACATGTATGGAATCTGGTAAAATAAAAAATGGCCGAAAAGAACATCGAACAGCTGGAACTATTTACTATTTTTGAAGAAGAAGAAGTTAGAAGTGTTAACGCGTGAAGCAAAAGCCTCAATGACGGCCGTAGATTGGCGAAAAAAAGTTAATCAAATAAAAAGATTGGAAAATGATTATTGTACGAGTGAGGTAACGATGAAAATGACATTGAAGAGTTTATAATTAAAATTGTGCTGAACAGGAGTTGTGAAAGCGATAGCTGCTGCCGATTCTTACAATGATCATGAAGATAACGATGGAGTGTCCGGAATCAAAGTGCTCTTAGACGATTCTGGTGAAGGTTCAAGTAGCAGAATTTAATTTTCAAAGAGTACTGTATGAAAAAAAATGCCTATACATTATTTTATTTTATAGTCTACATGAATAATTTGCTAATATATAAAAATAAAGTAAAGTAAAGTTACAGCCTATAATACGTCCCACTGCTGGGCTCAGGCCTCCCCTCATTTCTGAGAGGGTTTAGGGCAAGGAAGTGTCCGCCGCGCTGCCCAAATGCGTGTTGACGAACTTCACATGTCTTCAAAATATTTTTTTTTCTTATTCCTCAGACATGCAGGTTTCCTCACGATGTTTTCCTTCACCGCCGAGCACGTGGTAAATCAGCACTTAAAATTGCAATTAACAATTTCATTGGTGCCGGCGGGGATCGAACCCGGGTTACTCGCGTTCTGTTATATTTACAGCGAGCGTTATTTTAAAATTAATGTGTCTACATGTGTATATAATTATATTCAAATATTTTCCCATTAATAGAAAACTTCCAATTAATTTAATAATATACCTAACGTTTAAATTAACATAATAACGATTATTTTGTTAATTTAAACGTTTTCGTTATGTATTGTGCATGTTGACGGTACAGGCTCGATGAGACGCCATGTATAATCCCATTCCTTATCCGTACGGGCTATACACAATAATATTGGCAGAGTTCCATTTTCAAAATTTTGAACTTATTTTTTTATTATATCGTTTATATGTGGCCAATTCTAAAAACTTTCAGTGTTGCCCTCGTATAGCAAAATTCCAGCTGTGAGGCCTATGTTTAACAGTGGGATTTATATTAAGCATAAATGGATTATTTTATATTAAAACCACGTACCCGCAGATACGAGGTTAGTATATGAATTACGTAGTGATTATATACTCATGGGGTATATGTGTATTTATGATACTCCGTAAGCAGAACATCTCAGATAGAACATATAGGCTACACTTTTAAAAATAATATGTCAATAGAGAATGACATTTACACCACAGGATATCAAAGATAATGATAATTATGTTGACACGATAACACAAAATCATAAGTTACAATTAAGTACATAATAAATATAAAATCAAAATATAAATAAGAAAATAAATAATTTAAATAAAAACACCCTACAATGGATAACTTTCACAGTAGTTGTTTTACAACGCGTAGCTCAGGCTATAAATATTGCACATCTTCAACCAACACTGGGATATTGAATGAAAAAGAACGTGTAATGGAAATTAATTTGTCCAAAAAGGTCACAGAACTGAGCCAAGCAATCACTTCCAGAGTTTCAAAAGAAGTATACAAGACTCAAGTAGCACGTGAATCGATTATAGATAAAATTGAAATGGTTAATTCAAAAATTAATTATATTTTAGACATACAAACTACAGTAGCAGCACTACGGAAGGACCTTCTGTTAGCTGAAAGTGCCATTGCCAATATGGTAGAAAAAATAGAAAAGATTGAAGAAAACGTGTCATCCTTTGAAAGTTGTCGTATACAATCTTAAAAATCTTTGTTCTTATATTGATCTATGTATTAAAGTTAAAATGGAGAGTGCAGAGTGAGGTATGAAGATAAAAACCCATTGTATACTTTTAATTAAGTTGCTTGGAAATTTTTAAATTAGGTGTAATGTATGAAAATAGAAAGCGTTAAACCACTTGTGATAAAACGATGTCAATTAGTTTTAGGTTTTTATTGTTTATATCAGTAAATTTTATTAAAAAAATTTTTTTTTAAAAATTTGATAACTCGTTCAGAATTCACATCACGGTTTAGATAAATTGGAAAATAAATAAATTAGACAACATTTGACGGAATTAATATTTTTATTTCTTCGATGAATTACATGTAATCAGCTCTTAGCTGGACAGCAATGAATATGAAGAAAATTCTCAATTATAATATTATGTAGGTATTTGAATAACACAAGTAAAACATCAACTTTTCCATTATAACATTCAAGTAATCGTTTAAAACGTTACAAATAGACACATAAATGTGCTTAAATTACATAAAGCTACCATTTAATACATTTATAACAGGACACCATGTGAAAATTCAAAGAGATCTTAGATCTGACTCAAGATAGAAATACAGAATTTTATTAAAAAATTACATTTAATTACTTATGTAATTTAACCTAGGTTTACATACATGCACAATATCAATTTAAAAAAAAACTACTTAAAAGTGAACTTTAGGAAAACTGGTACGTAAACTAAAAAGTATGCAGGTAAAATGCTTCAAAGCACCTAAAAAAATTGTACTAAGTATTGATCCAACAACATCTATCAAGATTTGATATTTTTTAACTAATAACACTAAGATCAATAATAAATATGGCACAGAATAAACAATTAAATACAATAATCAATTAAAATTACTTTATATTAAAAAAGGCAGTAGATAAAATTTATTGTGAATTGATTATATTATATATATTATTAAAAACACCTGCTCCGAGCGGGACTCGAACCGCGGCGTTGCAGCCATACTCCAGATTACTGCGCTACTGGGCCGTCAAAAACTGTTGAAGTTATTTGTAAAGCTACATCGGACATTGAATTAAAACCTAAACCTAATTTATACACTTATATAATAGGACTAGCAAAGAAAACATCTTAATTAAAACGTTTTGGAAGATTTGTCTATTTAATAAAAATTAATTAAATTAATATAGTATAATTGGACAAATTCACTAAATATAAATGCAACAGACTACAAAATACCACGAACATAACTTTTTGGCATGCCTTTTGAGCAATAATATTTCTGCCAAAAGTAAATACATAAACAATTGTTACTCCTATAGCACTAGTACTTGGTATCATAAGCAAAACATTTTTAATTGTTTTAGTAACTGCAAATTGTTTAACAATTTGCGTATAAAATATGTAGATAAAGCAATAAATTAAACTAATTAAGTAATATCACGAATATAATATTAGCTTTATCTATATTTTTCGTTAACAGAAAAACAAAACTTTACCACGAAGACACGATACTAACGTATTAATATACGTTCACATACATTTTATTATGCTAAGGTATGTATTATATATTAATTTTAAAATATTTTTAAATTAAAAGAGAATTAAATGCTTGCGAACATTACTTAAAATACACATTTCATGTAGCATTCAACAGTAAACATTCAAATTAATCCAATTTGTTGCGAAATAAATTACATAAATAAATATAGATAATGGTCTACTAACACGTACCACAACCACAACACGTGGGCAGGCGCATTTTGTATTGGAAATGAATAGTACAATTTACATGTACCACATTTTGCCGTCATTATCGACTGCGTGAGTGATACCGACCGACACAACGCTACCACGACGCCACCACTACGGAACCACACAGAACTAGTGGCCGGCCAGAACATTGCATTGACGCCACGTCTAGCGTTGCAACGCAACCACAACGCATCTGCAAAAAACTGCTGCGACACTATTCACACGTGACCACATTTTGTCGCTGCGATGTGGTGTAGTTGTGGTACGTGTGGGTCAACCCTAACAACGCAACTGCAAAGAGCTGCTGCGACACTATTCACACGTGATCACATTTTGTCGCTGCGATAGAGTTATACAACAAAATCGTGATGTAGTTGTGGTACGTGTGGGTCAACCCTAACAACGCAACTGCAAAAACCTGCTGCGACACTATTCACACGTGACCACATTTTGTCGCTGCGATGTGATGTAGTTGTGGTACGTGTGGGTCAACCCTAACAACGCAACTGCAAAGAGCTGCTGCGACACTATTCACACGTGATCACATTTTGTCGCTGCGATGTGATGTAGTTGTGGTACGTGTGGGTCAACCCTAACAACGCAACTGCATAGAGCTGCTGCGACACTATTCACACGTGATCACATTTTGTCGCTGCGATGTGATGTAGTTGTGGTACGTGTGGGTCAACCCTAACAACGCAACTGCATAAAGCTGCTGCGACACTATTCACACGTGACCACATTTTGTCGCTGCGATGTGGTGTAGTTGTGGTATATGTGGGTCAAACCTAAGACTCCCTATACAGGCACTGCAGCACATAAGTAGTAATAAGCTTCAGCAACTAATTAGTGCATGCATTCAAATATTTATTGAAATTTCTGTAAGTTTTTACTGTTTAATAGATAAACAAACATACTATGTGATTAAAAAATTTAAAAAATACAGGTTTCCGTCAATCCCATTAAAGGGTTAAGTGATGGAAATACAAATTTTATATAATATTCATTTAGGTTTCAAGAATCAGTACAAATTTTTGAAAAAATACAAACATCGTACTTCTTAAATGTTATTTCTTTAGAGAAGTCACTATACTGTATAGTTTCATATAATGTATACTATAATTACTAAATTTTTTCTACACATTTACAGTTACATATACGCAAAGTGCCTCGAACTGGCAAAATTTCTAAAGAATAGAATAGACAAGAATGCCTAAGAAGATCGCAGTCCAAAACATATATCCACATATTCATTTTAATCTACAAAATTGCATCGTGCTCGAGGTTACAAAGTCGAGAAGTGTTCATCACTAAATTAAGACAGTCTTTTAACCTCAACACTATTTCTCTACTTTCAATCAAACAAACAAATAAATGCTCTCAAAAGCCCATCGCATACTGTGGAGCAGCATCCGCGTTTAGGAGCTTTTCTTTCTTCTGGTGCGAAGCTGGGTCGTTTTGGACGTTTTGCACGACGTCCACATAGTTTGCTTGGCTGGGCTTCAGCGGGTTCAGAACGTGGACTGAGATGCACTGGTAACGCGGCAGGCTCTGTGGGTCGCGGCCGAGCCCAACGGCGAAGCAACGCCTCTTGTTCGGCGCCTACTGGCACAGGAGCTGATAATTTCCGAGCTCGCGCTGTAACTAAAGCTCTTTCCATTGGCTCCAATAATTCAAGTGCTAAAGCGCGGTCCAGCTCTTCGCCCGACAGCAACAGGTATCGTGGACAGTAAGCCAATTCCCCCAGTGCCGCGCGTTTATTACTTGGTGTTAACTCACGTTTCGTGCGTTTGCAAGCGGCTGTGCTCCATCGTGACAAAGCCTCTGCAAGTACGAGCTCACTTGACACCCGAAGAGTATCGCGTTTGACAATCAGTGCCAGATCTTCGTAGGTAAGCTCTTCAAGGCGCTCGTCGGTTAAAGCCGCATCGGCGTTTTCGTCAAGAACTAGAAGAGCATTATGGGCGAGGGAGTCACACCAACAAGAGCACTGGGCTAAGGATCGCGCTGCAGCATCATTCGTCAGAGCTGGAAGGGGCGGTGCGGAGGCAGCCCCTGGTAATCTCGCACACAAGAAGCGCAGATCACGTAGTATTTCGAGCGCTGCGCCGGCGTCTAACATTTCGTCCAGTCGACGAGCACAGCGCTCTGCGAGCGGTGGGCATAAGAACTTGTAGGCAGCATCTAAAGCGCAACGGGCTGTCGTAACAGAGTTAAGCTGAGTTGGTTCGCAGTAATGGTATCGTAGGAGTTGTTCAAAGCCCCTACGGTCGATATAATCCACAACGATTACGTCTGTCTTAGCAGAAAGGAGAGCGGCGAAAACTGGGCTTGTTGCAGCGAGCACACGCCTGTGGCCTGGGTAACGCCAAGTGTCACCGTTAATTCCGGCCACGAACACAATGTCACTCTGTTTCTCATCGTCGTACAGTCTAAGGTTTTCATCTATTACCAGCCCAGAAGATTCTGCGTGCAGTGGAGGTGTTTCACTTCTCGTATCAATCTCATCATCGGAATTCATTCGTGCAGGATTCGTAACTATTGTCATCTTGCCGCCCGCTTTTTCTCAGACCTGGAAATAAAAAGATTTTTTTAATTAATTACTTGTTTTGATAGTTATATTTTAATTTTTAAAATGCTAATTAGACGCGTGGTAATGGTAAATTTACGTGGTAGACCCATGCTGCAGCTATATTAAAGATAGGTGTAGCACGAATGGGTCAGATCGACCGGAGAAGGACCACGCTCTCACAAAATACTAGTGTAAAATAACAGGTCAACGCTGGTGTATTTCGTATGGTGAATGTAGAGAACCGAAGACCCTTTTTACTGGACACGAGGCATTCCATCTTAGTCCTCACAGGTGACAACTGCATATTCATTTGTAATCGGTGATAGATGTAGATGTCTATGGCTTACAGCAACCACTTACCATCATGTGGACTGTGGGCACGTTTGTCATCCATATCCTATAAAAAGTGGCATTTCTATAATGCAACAAATTGGAAAACCGCGGTGCTACTAAAATTAATAAATAATTCTTAGCATTGATATGACTACATTGTCCTGCTAAGAGAAATTTTACGCTAACTCTACAGAATATTATTTAAAAGCATGTTGAATCTGTCTACCCATTTAACTGAAGGGACTGCCCTGATATTTTAAGACTGTTAATACCAGTATTTAGTAAATACCAGTGCAAGATTTTATTAACACTGTTATAATGCCTATCGCGAACTATGAATAGTACCATATAAAGATTCATTATTACACTAACATGAATTAGACACTGTAAGGTGTTAAACTGGATACCAAGGGCAATAAATACCGATACGCGATTTTTAGAATGTTTGAGTTTCCATTTCAATTATATACTCTTATAAAAGGTTACCACAAATAAAAAATATTCTTAATGAGCTCACGTAAATTTATTGTCCTCTCATAATATCATAATAGACTTGACTCTCATTAGATCTTAGTTTTTACCCACAGCTATAGTTATGTAGGTAGGTACTTGTTGTGTTATGTAGTTGTTTACAGGTAAACGTTTATTATGTCTCCACTAAAAAAAAAATATTTTACGCACAATTTAATTTTGTGGACAATTATCGTTTTTTATTATAAAATATTATTCTAAGAATATTTGTATTTTAGGGCGTAATATTAATAAATGATATTGACGAAGACTACGATAGGATGACATTTTTCAATTAAATAAGTAATCATGTATAGCTAAGTGAATGTGCAACTTTTAAATATTCCAAATTCCAACTTGCGTATTAAGCTTGTATTAAGAGATATTTTAAAAATATTTAGATTACATCTATATATTATGCTTGTAGCGCGCATGGGTCGGCTCGACCGGGAAAGATCCACGCTCTCACAGAATACCAGCGTAAAATAGCAGCTTAATGCGGCTGTGTTTCGTATGATGAGTGTAGAGAACCGGGGATCCTTTTTACTGGAAACGAGGCATTTCATCGTAGTCCTCGGGGTTGACAATGCATCTGCATTTTGATTCTTAATCGAAGATAAATGTAGATGTCTGTGAATCACAGTATCCACTAACCATCAGGTGGACTGCGTGCTCGTTTGTTTCTCCCATTCTATAAAAATATTATGATGATATGAAATTCTAATAAGTAGGTACAAATATTTAAATTTCGCATAGTTCTCATTTGCTTAGAACTTATAATACCTACCTAGTCTTACTGTACGAACATTTTATAGTTAAGTACTTTTATTTGGTTGAATAAAAGATAAAAACTGATATTAAATCAAAATTTGAAAAAGCATGTATTGCTTATAAATTCTGCATCGTGAAACGTATGCATTAAATAACAGAGATGAAAAGGAGTCCATTTCGTGAAAATGTGCGTCAACACTTAACCATGCGTCATTTTGCACGCATTCCACGATCGTAAACAAAAATATACGCTCGCTCAAGCTGAACACGCGTGCATCTTATAACAGAATACATTTGTACTTTTGGGAAAGATTTCATGAGAGAGATGAAAAATTAAGATGGTATAGTTGATTACCATTATGAACTATTAAGTTTGTTTTTCAATTGTATTTATAATTTGATAGCAAAAATACAAAATCGACTTGTTCCTTTGCATCTTTTATAATATACTTTAAATAACATCAAAGTTCTTTTTATTAATCGAAGATTGACACAAATATTTAAATAAGCATATTTTTTCGGATAAATTTTAAGTCTAAAGAAATGTAACATAAATTAAATTTTTTCAACTTTCAATATTATATTTAAACACTTCCTGTTGTGTTGCAATCTGACGACCAAAACGATTTTCCGCATGTTTATATCGAGGCCAAGAAATGCATTTAATTTCGTAACTTTAGAGACATTTAACAGTAGTTATTTTGCCTGTCGGTGACCTAAATTCACATAACTTTATGGATTTGGTCTGGTATTGCCCTATATTTAGATAGTAATCTGAGCGTGCTGTGTTAAACGCAATGCGTTCCTTTCTATAGTCTGTTAAGCTGCATTGAAAACATAATGGATTTTTGTGATGTAAAGTGGTCGACGACGTTTGCTTTTTAACGCGCTTTTAGATAAGTCTGTTTGTTTTTTACTGCTCCCATAATTCTATTATGGTTTATGATACTTCCTAAAAGTTTCAATGAAAAATTGAAATATTATGAGATGATGACTTTTAATTTATAGATTTTAATTTTGTTAAGAATAATTATTCTGCGTAAATACATACTATATTGCGTACATGCAAAACGGATAAGTATTGTTTAACTTGACCAAAAAATATTTGAATTTGAACATATTTATTAAAATTGGATTGTTTAACAAATTTTTAGTACAGTGTACACTTCAATATAAAACTCTTTGACTTCTTTTCGTCTTCTTTGAGTAGATTAACTACTGTTGCTTTTGTGATTTTTAATGTAATCTATTATATATATATATATATATATATATATATATATATCATATATAGCCCTTCACAAGTCCACTGCTGAACATAGGCCTCCCCCAAGTAACGCCACAAATCACGGTCCTGAGCCACCTGCATCCATCGTATTCCTGCATGTCTTACCAGGTCGTCACTCCATCTAGTGGGGGGTCGCCCTACACTACGCCTACCGGTACGAGGCTGCCACTCGAGAACCTTACTTCCCCATCTGTTATCGGTTCTTCGAGCTATATGGCTGGCCCATTGCCACTTCAGCTTACTAATCCGTTGGGCTATGTCGGTCACTCTGGTTTTACTGCGGATATCCTCATTTCTGAGTCTATCACGCAGAGAAACTCCGAGCATAGCCCTCTTCATAGCTCGCTGAGCGACCTTGAGCGTCCTCATACGGCCAGCAGTGAAGGACCACGTCTCAGATCCGTAAGTCATCACTAGCAACACGCACTGGTTGTGCACTTTAGCTTTCAGAGATTGAGGTATACCTGACGAGAAGATGTGTCGTAATTTCCCGAACGCTGCCCAGCCAAGTTGAATCCGTCGATTGACCTCTCGGTCGAAGTTGGACTTACCTAGTCGGACTATTTGTCCCAGGTAAACGTACTCGTCAACAACTTCGAGCATAGTGCTACCAACAACTACCAGCATAGGTGTGACATGGACATTAAACATAATCTTTGTTTAGTCCATGTTCATCTTAAGACCTATCCGTTGGGAGGCACTATTGAGGTCATTGAGCATAGTGCTTAAGTCCTCCAGCAATTCTGCCATAAGGACTATATCGTCGACAAATCGAAGGTGAGTGATGTACTCGCCATTGATGTTAATAGCGTATCCATTCCAGTCCAGTAGCTTGAAAACGTCTTCTAATGCAGCGGGGAAGAGTTTCGGGGATATAACGTCACCCTGTCTTACACCTCTCTGCAGTTGGATAGGTTTCGAACTCTGATTCTGTACTCGGATAGCCATCGTGGCCCTACTGTACAAACACTTCAGCACCTCGATATACCAACAGTTAACTTGGCACCGCTGAAGGGACTGTAGCACCGCCCAAATTTCGACGGAATCAAAGGCTTTCTCATAGTCCACATACGCCAGGCAAAGTGGCAGATTGTACTCTTCAGTCTTCTGTACAATCTGCCGCAGGGTATGTATGTGGTCTATGGTACTGAAGCCTTTTCGGAAACCGGCTTGTTCGGGAGGCTGGAAGTCGTCGAGTCTGCGTGCGAGACGATTCGTAATGACTCTCGAAAACAGCACGTAGACGCGGCTCAGAAGAGAAATCGGTCTGTAGTTTCAAGAGAGCATTGTCGCATTTCTTAAGGAACAAGACCACCGCACTTCTGCTCCACGCCTCCGGAGTAGTGCCACCATGGAGGACGGAATTGAAGAGCTTCTGAAGGACTTCAAGTACCGGTGTTCCACCGGCTTTCAGAAGCTCCGCTGTAATTCCATCCTCGCCTGGGGCCCTGCCGTTTTTAAGGTGCTGGAGAACCATTCTAATCTCGCTCAGACTGACGTCCGGGATATCATCGGAATAGTGTCGGGTATGTCTTGCTCTTGGATCGTTACTCACACTTGTGTGTGGCTCCAACGATGATGTGTACAGCTGCCAGTAGAACCTGTCAATCTCACTCAAAATCTCAGGTGTCTCGGAAACGATGCTGCCACACTCAGTCTTCAGCTTTGACAGTTGGCTCTTTCTGGCAGACAGATCTCTAGCAAAGACTTTGGAGCCCTGGTTCCGCTTGGTCGCTTCGTTAATACGAGCAGTATTAAAGTTGCGTAAGTCTCGCCGCATGCATTTGGAGATCTGTCTGTTCAGTTGCCTGTATGCTGTCAAATCTGTTGACGATTGCAGCCTCATCTCCCTTCTAACAGCCATGAGATTAAGAGTGTGATCGGAGAGTTTTTGTGTTCTTCTGCGGCGGGTCTTGCAGAACTTAGCTCCGACCGCATGGACAGTTTCCACGAGCTTGTCATACATATCTTCCACTGCATTGCAATCTTCTAGGCACTGAAAGCGGTTACGTAACTCGAGCTGAAAAGTCTCGGGATTCTGGATTAG